AGGACAACAAAAGAAATGAACAAAGACAGGTTAGGCATGAAAGTGGAAGAAAAGGAGGATAGGATCGAAGTGTTGTTGGGAGGAAAGAAGGGCATGAAGTGAGGTAGATGAAAAGTTGTAGGTGTAGAGAAGTGAGAACGGAGAAGAGAGAGGAAAATAAGGGGCGAAAGGGTTGAAAAGGGGGACTCACCAACTGCGACTTGTGAATCTGCGTTGCCTGTGACAAGAGGAACAACAAGTCAGTCAGTCAGTCATATTTTGATGACATAGCTCAACAGAATTTTTCAGATACGAAACTGAGGAAAGAAGCCATCAAATCCCGAAGCACATCCACTATCACTACTGTACAGACTCCATTCACTTCATGACCTCCCCTCCGCCCAACGACCTGAGAATGCTCAACCAACCAACTACCAGCTGTCCCGCTCTCCCCAACCCCTCACCCCCCATCAATTGCCCCCAACCAAACAACAGATGTGGAACAATGATAATAGCGGCGGCAACGACACAACAACACAGCAACTCAACTCACCGAGGAAAGGAAGTCCAGAGACTCCGGTAAAGGCAGCGGCTGAGCACTGTTGAAGGCGGGCCATGAGGAAAGTTTGCTGGCGTCGGTGGTGAAGCGACGTTGGAGGTTTGCACGCACATCGGAAGGTGGTTGGAAGGTGGAGATATAGCTAGCGGTCTGAACTCTGGTGGGCGAGGGGTAGCTGGAGAAAGGCGAGTCGGAGGGCGGGGAGCGAGGGGAGGAGAAGCGGAGCTCTTCGAGACGCTCGCTCAGACCGTTCTTGAAGCCCATTGTATAATGGGTATGTGGTTATGTGGGTGTGACGGTGGCACAGCTACAGGGACGCAGGAAGATTGGACATGTCAGAACGAAGGCGGGGGTTGGGGAAAGACAGAGAATGGACGAGAGATAGCAACAGAGCAAGGCCAAAAAGGGGGACAGAGGGAGGTAGAAGCTGTCTGGGGCAGCCGGGGCCAGCAATTGGTCAAGGGGAAAAGAGTGCAGAGGGGGGAGAGGGGCGGGGGAGGGTAGGGAGGAGGAGAAGGGAGGGGATTTAGAGGGGGGGTTGAGGATTTGAGGTTGGAGGTTGAGAAGTTGAGGATGATGAGATAGGGGAGGAGGCGAGAGGGCCGAGGTGGAGCATGACTAAACACGGGCTAGTTGGCGGTGTGTTCCTTTGACTTTTAACTAGAACGCACCAGACCAAGGGGTTATTTGTTCCCCGCCCCCAGTCACATCCACACACATGTCATGCCACGGGCTAATTTTTGCCTATTCAGGAGAGGATGGAAGGAGGAAAGGCAGGAAGGAAGAAAACCGCAAGCTGGATAGGATCGAAAGGATTACTCACACAGGTATGCTGGTTTCGATAACTCTAGAAAATAGGCACGGAAGGATGTACGCAGTGTCTGCTGCTTGTCAAGGACGTCGGGTCGAGTGTCCCAAGCTATCTCAGGATCAGGTCAATCAATTCAACCCCAAAAGCGCTGCTCGCCTTGACAGTGGCCCACAGCTCTAGACGCAAGGCCGCTGCTGTATCGCGTGTCTCCAAGTCAACTTCAAGAGTATATACATGCGCGCACACAATATACAACATATACACACTTTTTCTTGTGGGAAATTATCCTTCTCCCCTCGATGTTGCATTCCCTTTCTGGTTAATTGTTTTGCCCTTATTTTCCTTCTTTGCTTTTCTGTTCCCCTTTTTGTTCGCTGTTCTATCTCCTATGGGGATTGTATCAATGTTGGTACAGCTGGATCGATATCGGTCCGATCAACTCAGGATCGATCGTCGAACTGCGTGAGATGGAGGTCTCACACAAGTGGGGCTTTCTTCCTTCGTTTCTTACTCTTCTTCTTCTTCTTCTTCTCACACGGGAATTTACTCAACTCTTGGAAAAAAAAGAATGTAGGATGAAAAAATCAACAGGATCACCAGCAAAAATAAGGGACTGACACTTTTTTCGAATTTCGGTAGGCCTAAGGTAGTCAAAGGGAATAAGAGTGTATATGTTTATCAAGAAAAACACACAAACGGAGAAAGTGGATAGGTAGGAAGAAAGGTCACAGGAAACGAGAGAATTGTTGTGTTGTACAGAGAAAGAGGCGACGAGAGGAGATTGTGAGGAGGAAGACGATGTTTGATATTTGATTCCAATTCACCACTTTTTCAACAGAAGTGTCTGAGGGAAGAGTGAGTAATCATCAACGAGCAGAGAGACAGGGGAACGGAGCGAAGAGGGAAAGATCATGATAAAAAAAAAGCCAAAAAAAAAAAAAAGAAAGCAAGCACGCACGCACGCAAGCTACAATCAGAACGACAAACGGTGGAGAAAGCAAGATGCACCTATGACATGACGGCGAAATTCTAGGTCCGGGGAAGGTGAGAGAAAGGGATTGGCCGACGTGGTTGAAACGTATATCTGCATGCTCAACAGACAACAATGCACTGATTGCCTGGCGGGAATAAGGCGGCGGTGGGGCAGTATGTCTGTATGTGTGGATACATGTACTGCACAACTTGGAGGCTGGAGCGCACGGCCTATCCAAAATGCCAGATTGGAAGAAGCCGTGAGCAGTAAGGATTAACCCTTGCTATGCTGCAGGGAATAACCCACCGAGATGGACTTAGCCTTGAGCTATTTGTCGAGTTATATTTGCTGTAAGTTAAAGTTACATCATGGAGGTATGCGACTACATTCATTCCTTTTGAACATTTCCCCTTGGAAGATCACGGACATGCATTTTCGGTTCCTCTCATCTTCTCTCGCTTGCTTTTCGCTGGGATGTAGGAATCCC